AACAGTCTGCTGTAAACATGGCTGATCACTCACTCAGGGATTACAAATATCAGAGTTGATAACTTCAGAGTTAAAATATGCATCAAGTATAATATGTTACAGTCTAGCTTGTAGGTTCAGTCTCATATATCCAAAACACATTTAATATTCTCAGACACAAGTAAATAATGTAACGCATACGGCCCACATTACAGGTTGTGTGATTCGGCTTGCCAGTGCGGTGACGTCACTGCCCGGTGGAGGGACGACATGAGATGGGAGTGGCGAGGGAGCATACCCATGTGAACCTGAAACCGCTACATTGGTGTCAGAGTGGGATGGGATAGCCCTTCGCTGAGAACGGCGAATTAAGCAGGGGAGAGTGTAATGCATACAGCTGACGTTACAGGTTGTGCAGGCTGGCTTGCATGTCACTGCCCTTCCCTGTGAATAGCAGGGAGATCTCCCCTTAGCTCAACCGGCTGGCTCTCTGTTGAGTGATGCCTGAGGCCTGGCTTCAAGCCCCACCTGAGGCAGGAGCGGTGAGGACACATACCCACATGAACCTGAAAATGCTACAACATGCATTTCCTATTGTGAACTAAACATCAAACATGCATTTATAATGGTAGATCAAATTTTGAGACTTATGATGTGAATATTTCTAAATAATGAAGCTTTACTCAACAGATCTGTTGTCCAAATGTCCATGATGAGTTTAACTACAGAACTCAGTTCATCTGTGGCAGAACTCAGACTTTTCTGTGCTGGTAGGAGAGAGAGAAAGAGCTTTTCTGGCATTGCCTACCAGCTTGCATTGGCCTCAGGAAACTCTGCCAAAGTAACGGTCTTTCTTTAAAACAGTCTGTGGACAGTTTGCCTTCTTGGGGTTCACAAGGTAGACAAAAGGGAAACTTAGCGCTACTGTATAGCTTTTTGTTCAGAATATTCTGGATGTCGACAAAAAGAACGATAAAAATAACAGTGGGGGCTTATGAACAGAAGATTTCTTTTGTTTCAGGAAGAATCTTACAATCTCCAAGATGGCCTGGCATCTTGGAGAAAAGTTTAAGTTGTGACTTGGAATGTTTTCTGGCACATTGTCATAAAAGCTAGTTTGCCAGTCTAGAGAGGGATCAGTGGTTTCCAAGGACTTCAAGTCAGTGGTTAACCAGAGAAAAATGACATGTTCCAGTTTATATGGGGCGACATCACAAGTTGGTCATTGTCTGAGATGCCATCAGGATTGGTTCTGGTAGCCATTTTACAGATCCTCAGTTGGTGGATCTTCTTTTGGGTGATAGACAGTAACCCTAACCCTAACCCTAACCAGAGAAAAATGACATGTTCCAGTTTATATGGGGCGACATCACAAGTTGGTCATTGGCTGAGATGCCATCAGGATTGGTTCTGGTAGCCATTTTACAGATCCTCAGTTGGTGGATCTTCTTTTGGGTGATAGACAGTGACCTTTGACCTGTGGTTTTGGGAAGAATCCTGCCTGGAGCTTAAAGGAGCTCGTCTATGTTATATGTCTTTAAATGTACAGCACTGTTGTCTTAAAATGTTTTATGATGTCTCTTATCAGAGGGTCCTCTTAAGCCACATTATGAAGCATTTAGGAAGAGGCACCAGACTGCTTGGGCAAGGTACACAAAGATGATTAGAAATATTTAATAATACTTAATTCAAAATGAAATAATAGGACTGGCCCCTACACAGGTTATATTCATAAATTGTTTTAAGTTTTAAATTACAGACTATACCTAATTCTTGTATGACTTAATAATTGTTTAACATGAACTTTCATCAGTGTCTTTCTCTGTATATACTGTATGTCCAAGTTGGAAGAACTGGCTGTGCATCGTCAAGTATATGAGTATAATAAAGTACTCTACTGTATATAAAGTACTCCATCCCATAACTCTGCTAAACCTTAAAACCTTGCTGACTACCTGTTCTATGTGAACTGTTAGTATTTGCTTTGGCATCTTTTGACAAATTTGACTAAATGATTACTGATTTACTTATAAATTGGCTATAATTTCTATAGTTACTTCATACATAACCAGAAATAATTACAGGTTAAAACTCTGCATAAAATAGATATGTTCATCATCTACTCAATATGAAACAAATTTAACTTCATTGTGTGTTTTCAAATCATTCATATTGTTAAATATTTAATTACCATTTCAACTGAAATTTTATTTATTAACTTGAGTGGTTTAGGCCTTACACACGTATATAATGTCTCTTAATTGGCAGAAGAGTACACTGAAATCTGAGTTATTCCCAGTCACACAGTGTAATTATAGACCTAGTGTGTAATTAATTACACAGTAAAAGATTCCATTTTCTACACTGAACTCTCTACATGAGTGACATAATCCTTTTTAATTACAGCATACATATTTTCAGCATTTCTATGTGAAAGGGGTGTCACAAAAATGCAGTTAGTCCTGCAGTTAAGACTTGAGTTTCAGACATGCAGAAGAGGTCATTAATCTCCATAGTTTATTTGTAAGTAGCAGCTTGCACATTGCTTATCTGAGTGTAGAAAAATGCTCTGGGAGTAACCAGACACAGGGGAATGTTTAAACAAACACCGAACTGAAAAGACATCTGATGGATTCTCCTGGGTACGTGCTTCCATTACTCTTGCTGATGAAAACCCAGTTGATGGAAAACATTGGCAGTCTTGTTTTCCTTTAGGATACCGCAAGTGCTTAGATGCTTTTCTTCTCACTATTTAAGATAAAGTTTCAGAACAGAAGAACATTCAAGCAGTATTAATGTATGTATTAATGGAATTTGGGGAGATCTGAGATTATATACAAAATGTTTAACAGAAATGTAGTATGTTCTGATTAGAAATATTACTAAGAGGGTTTAGGTATACCTAAAAAGTCCGGATTCCTATGGTATTCACTGCATTGTACACAAAGGAGTGTAGGATGCTATTGTCACGGACGTCCAAAGGGACTAACCGTGGGGAGCAGGAGAGCAGAAAAAAGACCCATATGCGTAGCGGCGAGACGGGAAAAAGGCCCGGGCTCATTAGTGCAAAGAGTTCAGGAATGCCGTATAGAAACCTATGCCCTCAGGGAGCGGACG